TTAGTGATATTGGTCTATAATTTTCTTTTCTTGTTAGGTCTTTTCCTGGTTTGGGAATCAAGGTTCATAGAATGTGTTTGTGGCTAATATGCAATATCTAATTGCTTTGTAAATGGCACAAAAGTGAAACCCGTAGGGTTTTATGTGACAATCTGTGTCACTTCAAGACTTAAGTCACAGAGTATAGCTGATTTTGTAGCCACACAATGGCTGCTAACAATTATGGAATGCTTACTCCATGCTAGGCACTGTCAAAATTTTTACATTTATTATCTAATTTAATTCTTATAATCACCTTATGAGGTTAATATTGTCATGATCCTCATTTTAAAGATAAGCACATTGAATTATGGTTAATATAAGGGTATGTTTCCCAGAATATCAGATTTCAGAGCCAATGTCCTTAATCATTACCACAGTTGATCAGTAAGCTTGGCTGGTGTATGCACGGCAATTTCAGGTAATGAGTCTCTGCTTATGTTATAGGCTCTGTGTCCTGAAAGCTGAGGATGCAGCCATCAGTAAGACACAGGGGAGACAACATATCAATAAACCAGGGCTGCAATATGTGAAGGTTAATGAGCTCTGTTTTTATTTTAAGTGTAGAAACGTGTCTGAAACCACCTTAAACAATTCACCCAGTCTTGTTGACTAAGTAACTGGCAAGTCTGAGTGACAGTATCTACTTTAGGAACAGCTGAACTGGGTATTTTAACAATATCAGAAATTTACCTTTCATCAATTTCTTGACTGTTGGTCTCTATTGGAGTTAATTTCTAGACTTTTAGATAAGTGGTTTAAATAAGTTTAGGCTAATAGAATTCTCAATTTTCTGATTAAAGTGAGCTCAGAGAAAGAGTAAAATGACTTCCTTCCCAACAGAATCTGTATCTCTTTCCCCAAGGAGATGTTCTGGTTTGTTCTTATGAGGTAACACATTGCCACTGGCCAGCCCCTATGCCACTGGCCAGCCTGAGCTCGTCCTCTGTGCTGGGAGACATAGGTCAGTTGAACAAGGGCTCCTCAAATCTCCTGAAGTGAGTCTAGACTTAGACCTTGCCTTATGAAGCTCACATTCAGTGTGGGCAAATCAGGATGCGAAAACAATATAGTAAACATAAAATTGGATAAATTGCACAATACATCGGAAGATGGCAGGTGGCCATCTTTCCAAAAGAAACTGATCACTAGAAGAAAGAGATGAATACTAAATTTACAATCTTAGGAATTATGGTAGAAATATGTATAAGATACATTCACAGAGGGGAATGGTAGTGGAAGGACACTAGAAGAAGGCCCAGACACAGTGGTGATGAAGTTCAATGCGAAGGAGGTCAGCATGGTTTTGAGCAGTGGACAAGCGTAGGGGATACGCTGGGTTAGAAGCAGGAAGACATTTCCTGTCATACTAATTAGTGCAGTTCATATTGTATCTAGCAAATGAAGAGGAACCAAGGAAGAGTTTAAAGCAGATGAGTAGCACAATTAAAACTGCACGGTAGGAAGACTATTCCTGCAGAGATGGAATTAGTATGATAGAGTTGGAAATTTGGAAAAGATTATAGAAACTAAAGTTGCATGATATAGAACTTCTTTTTGTGATGTTGTATGTAACATTTAATGACACGTACATACCTCTTCTAGTAGTTCTCCCTAAAGATTTCCATCTCGTCAACATTAACTTCTGCCAACAGCGAACCCTTCACTGCCTCGGTGCTCCTCTAACCTATCATCTCTTGTAATTACTCCCTTAATAATTATCCTAATTATTCACACTTCTGCTTTGTTATTCTTC